AGCAATTGATTTTAGGAATAAAGCGATGCCGCTGGTTTCTTAAAATATCCTCACAGGTGAATAATTTAGACTGTAAACATTAGCCATAACAACAGAAGAGAGATTAAAACCACAGGGAAACCATTTCCCTTCCTACCTGAATTCTAGGTCCACCGTGAATGTTCTTTGATGTTTTTGAATCAGAAGAATTAAGGTGCTCTCATCCAGGATTTTACCTGTCTTGTATCATCCAGTATCATTCCAAATACCTGACCATCTATAAGGGCTTCCTTTGTATCATCTTTGACAGATTAATGGTAGAAGCAGAGAAGATGCTGAAATAAAACTCAGCCATTTTGTCCAGGGGAACTTACATATGAAAACTTTCTTTTTTAAAGTAATAGTGGACATGTTGAATAGATTCCTGGACATTAATCCAAAAACGCAACACAATTCTCTTTTGATGCAGGAAATGTTTTTTTCCCCTAGAAGAGGGCTTGCTCTCTGCTTGGGAAAAATTATAATCCACATAGAGCTTGTTTCTTCTCCTTTTTTTCCCGAAGGCCGGTTCTTTTATCTCCAAAATGGCATTATCCACAAATAAGAGATTTTAGAAAGATCAAGGGAGGCACAATATATATCCAGAAGTAGGACAAAGCTTTAGGGAAGAAAAAGTAAAGAAAGAAAATTGCCCTGAAACGGCTTTAAATATGGAGGCATATTTAGTGACTGCAGAAAAAGGCCAATTTGAGGAACAGAAACAGAAACAAATCAAAATCCAGGTACAATTATAAATGCAGGCTCCTAAGCAGGAGTGCTGTGTGGTGTTTTGTTGTAAATCCGATTAAAACATCGATGTATCTTGGCAGAGCTTCACCTGAATGGCATTAAACCTAAAAATAATGGCTTAAAAAAAGAGAATGGCAACCTGTTTGTATTCCTGTCAATGCTTCACATTGTTAAGATATCCGTTAGAGAAAAGTGATTCAAAATGGCTTCCATATGCCCATTTTCTCCCCATCGAGAAGATCCATCAAGATNTGTTGGTGATTTAGAAAGATCTCAGGTCCTTCGAGAACTTCCATTCTTGAAGCGATTCCTTTCTGGATGCAGGCAGATGGTAGATGAGAACTTTCATTCCTTCTAGATTATGAGAAAAACACTCAGATGTCTTGCAGCTTTGCCAGTTTTGTAAATATAAACTATGTTTAAGACGTGTGACAGGTTACTGAAGTTTTGTCTATGCTCTTATTTTTTTCTGATAAATTTAACTCAATGCACTGGATGTGTTCTTGAAGTTCTGCTTGATTGCTGAATTACGACTTCTGTAGTCCACCATTAACAATAGTGTTGAGTAGATCCATCGAAAAATGGACCCCTGGGAAGTGACCCTTTTCTGATTGTGACTCCCTCAGAATATCCTTGAGGTTGAAAGCTCAGTGAGTCATGTGGGATAGATAGCTTTGTATTTCTCAGGATGCCTTATATGAAGGAACCCTTCCAAGAAGAGCCTAGACCATGGATTATGCCTGGTTCTATTCAGGTCTATGAATTGACAGGTTTTTCTGGAAGACTAGAAATTCTCTACCTGCTAATCTCCAGGTGTCCTTAACCATAAATATAAGAGGGTTGTGTCAATATTCTGCCTGGAGTGGAGATTTGGAATGGTCTATTTTGGTTTTGTGATGGCCTATAGAATGTACAGGTAAAGGTAAAGGTTCCTCTCGCTCATATGTGCTAGTGATTCCTATCTCTAGGGAGCAGTGCTCATCTCCATTTCAAAACTGAAGAGCCAGCTCTGTCTGAAGACGTCTCCGTGGTCATGTGGCCAGCATGACTAAACTCCGAAGGTGCACGGAACGCTGTTACCTTCCCACGAAATGTGGTCCCTATGTTTCTACATGCCTTTTTTACATGCTTTCGAACTGGTAGGTGGGACAAGTAATGGGGATCACTCCATTACATGGCGCTAGGGATTTGAACCCCCCAAACTGCCGACCTTGCTGATCGACAAGCTCAGCGTCTTAGCCACTGAGCCACCGCCTCCCATGTTAGAATGTATACTTCCGTGGAAATTTCAGTGGGTTGTAAAATACATTTTGACATGTGGAGAGATAATGTACAACATATTCTAAGACCTCAAGTCTGATCCAAGGTGGTTGTTTTTTTTACTCCTTGAGTGAGCCAACTACTGACCCTCTGCAATTAAGGCCTAAAGTGATTCATAGATTTCAAAAGATTCTGGGATATCTAGGTGTTTCCTGAATATCAATCCATGTTGCTTCCATGCGTAATGCTCCTTGTTGGTAGTGCGATGTTATTTAGAATGTGCTCTTTCATGGAAAAACTGGGATAAATCGTAAAACAAGCGCTTATGTATAGAGAGTATAGTGACATGATCTTCTAAGATCTCAGATCTTTTTCCAGGGACTTTTCCTGAGGAGGTGGAAGGCAACTTTTGAGTCCAAAGTTGGACCAAAAGTGATTTATAGATCTGAAAAGAATTGGGAGGCCTAGGCAGATTCTTCAAACCCATCCATCCTGCTTCCCTTGTTGTCTTCTTTTTATTTTGTCCCCAGGGAATAAGGAATTAGCTCTGACAAATGGCAAAAGAAACATCTTGTGAAAGGCTTAATCGAGTTCCACCAGGCAATGGATAGTAATCATCTCCAAGCAGTTTTGAATTTGCAAGCAATCCATATAAACTACTAAACCTGTCTTTGCATATAGATTTCCTAGCTAGATTCTGGTTTGGTGACATCTGGTCAATTTGTTGACCTTCCATATGATGAATTGAGTAAGTATTTGCTCAAACCTAGAGTAGAGTCCACTTCATTTATTTTTTTATTTTTTTATCAAATTTATTGACCAGACATTTCACCACAGGGTCCTTTAAAAAGGCCCTCTGTACTTGAACTGTCAATCAGAGCTGAAACACCCATTCCTGAATTGGATCAACTCCAGTTATGATGAAAGGATGGAAGTATTTTTATTGAATGACACCAACACTCAGGGGTTTTGAAGGCAATAGCCATATATTTACTTCTAGCCCTGCTTGGTTGTTTCCATGAATTGACAACTTCATAAGATTTCTTCTTTTTATATATGTTTGTAGTGCCAATTTTTGCATGAATTAATGCTATGGTGTATTTTTACACGTTGTGACTTGAGAGTTAGTAGTTCAACCATATATTTGCTGTATATCGATTGGTGGACGAAGAGTTTTTGGAAGGGCTTCTGTGATCTCATATGTCCCCCAATCTGACAGCATTACAACTAAAGAATAAGGCATTTTCATTTCAAACTTGAGAAGAATTCATGTGTGAATGTATTACAATACACATCTAGATGATGCTTCTTGATATCCTCAAGAGAATCAGACGTAGGCTAGGTTGGAGAGGGGTTTTTTTTGGTAACTGTTATTTTTTCCTTTTATATATGTTCCCTTTGGCTTGAATTAATAGTGTGTTGCATTTTTAC